TGCATGGGATTATGCCTGCCTAGGTGCAGGACCTTGCACTTGCCTTTGTTGAACTTCGTGAGGTTCCTCTCCGCCCAGCTCTCCAGCCTGTCCAGGTCCCTCTGGTCCCAGCACAACCCTCTGGTGTGTCAGCCCCTCCCCCCAGTTTAGTATCATCAGCAAACTTGCTGAGGGTGCACTCTGTCCCTTCCTCCAGGTCGTTGATGAATATGTTGAACAAGACTGGACCCAGGACTGACCCCTGGGGGACATGGCTAGCTACAGGCCTCCAACTTGACTCTGCACCACTGACCACAACCCTCTGAGCTCGGCCATCCAGCCAGTTCTCAATCCACCTCACTGTCCACTCATCTAGCCCACACTTCCTGAGTTTACCTGTGAGGATGTGATGGGAGGCGGTGTCAAAAGCCTTGCTGAAGTCCAGGGAGACCACATCCACTGCTCTCCCCTCATCTCCCCAGCCAGTCATTCCATCAGAGAAGGCTATCAGATTGGTCAAGCATGATGTCCCTTTAGTGAATCCATGCTGACTACTCCTGATCACCTTCTTGTCCTTCACATGCTTTGAGATGACCTCCAGGATGAGATGTTCCATCACCTTTCGAGGGATGGAGGTGAGGCTGACAGGCCTGTACTTTCCTGGCTCCTCCTTCTTGCAAGTGTGGCAAAAGGTTTCTGAATCAATATTACTTTGAGGAGTGATTGCCTTTTTGGTTCTGCCCTTTGCTTCCTCTGGGACTAAAATGAATCTTTTAAATTTAGTACATGCAAGTTAAAAATTTCTCCACTGTATTGCAACAAAAACAGTATTTATGAATCAGCGAATTTACTGGGGGGTAAAATCTTTTTCAATTTTTTTTTTTAACTGAACGATATTTTATATTTTTAGGCGAGATATAAAAAAACATGCATCTGAAGTCATTGTTGGAGCCCACTGTGGTTATGCAGTGCTTCGAGGAGCACATGTATATGTCCCAGGAATCTTATCCACCTCAAGATGTAAGTTCTCTAAATACATTCAGTTAGGTTTTAGAGGGAAAAAGTATCACCCATTGATGACAATTTCCATAAATAGAGTGCCATTTGATTTTTTTTTGTTCTATTTACAGCTGAAATGAGTCTTATAGTATGTACTAAATACATATTTTAAGTTTATCTGGCTTTTATTTGAAATGTTCACCATTGTTGTGCAATACTAATAATAAATTATGTATAATTATTTCTCATTTGGGCTATTTAAGTTTCTTTTTACGTATGTAATTCCTAGCTGACGTATTAGTTCTCAAAGATTCTAATTTCTTCTTGTTTTTATTTGAAAATATTTTAACCAATCTATGTGAAGTGAAACCTGGATTTTTAGATTTTTTTTTCTTTAGTAGCAGCTATGGTAGCTTTTAATATTCGTATTCAATAAAATAAACTTGGAGAAGTTTTTCACTTTCCACTTTTGTCAAAGGAAAAAGGGTGGTGTAGCAGACATGTCTAGATGGTAAGTGGATGTATGTTGATTAATTGCCAGTATTTGAAGATGTATTATCTTTTTATGTGCTCACAAGGCACTTGACTTTATGATCCTGTAGGATTCTATGTTCCACATCTAGAAAAATGGATTTTCTTTTTTTTTAATCTCTTGATAATTCATTTTATATCATTTGTGTATGAGAGATCTAGAAACAAATTTTCTGTTGATGAGAAAAATCTTCAGTTTTAATGACTTAGGTTCTTAAGAAATGGAAATACGTATTTTTCTGTCTTTCAGTGCCTGTGAGACAAGATTAGAAAATCTATATATAATCTGAGTGCTTAGTGTTCAGCAGCCTATTGAAACAATGCTATTTATTTTTCCTTTAAAGGTCAATTTAACTGTATGTGAAACCAATATAATTTTGGTTGATTCACCTCATTATTCTATTGTGCTGAGATCTACTAATCATTATGGTTCTTACTATTAAACAAACAGAGTCAGGAAAGCATTTTCCATCCACTTGACTTCATTCCTGTTCAGGAAAAAACCTTTAACAAGTGCTTATTTTAAGCATATGCTTAAGTGCAATTCACAGAACAGAAACATTTTTCAATCTAGCACTTGACAAGGAAATAAGTATATTGCTGTAGCAGCTGTTGAAACTGCTTATTTAGACAACCTCATAAATATTCAAGCCCCTCTTTGAGTCAACTGGTGATTTATCGTAATTGCTATATGTAATTATGCATGCAACATCAGATTCAAAGAAAAGAAGATCCTTTCACTAAAACTTCAGGAACACTTCAGAGGAATTGCAGATAGGAAAATAAAATAGAAGGGCATGCTACCCACCTGAGACCAAATATAATATGGCTATATTAAGTATAGATGGTCTAACTAGCAAGAAAAACGTGTTAAGCCAGAGAAGGCATTTTATCACTGAACTAGCTACGTAAATGAGAATAAACTAATTATCAAGGGGCTTTGAGTTTGATTTAACTAATCAACATCTAAGCTTTAAGTTAGATTTAGGAGAATGCCAGTGTAGCTACGCAAATGAACAAAAAGTTTAAGAACTGTACATAGCACTAATGAATTTTGAAAAAACAGTTGTTAGCGAGGATTGAAATAAAAACCTTTTGCTTTTGAGGGCAAAAAATCATTGACAAATATGCTTGATGAAAGAGTTAAATAGCTAAAAGTTTTAGTTATGTGAAGATTAAGTAGGTAATAATTTTGGGTCACGTTGTATAAGAAGTTGTTATCCAAAAATGAAATGTTTAGTAGCTACCTAACAGATATTCCATTTGGGAATACCAGAGCATTCTTCCATATTCGGAAGGTCCCTTGAAAATAAGAAAAAAAGATTCATAAACACAACTCTTAGAATTTTTAGAGAGCAGTACTATCATTTGTCGTACCTCTTATATCTTCTGGATGCTCCAGCCAGTCAGCTTCCTTAGAAATGTCGCTTTGGAAAATGGTTTATTGCTGTCAGTGGAGGCCTTTATTTTTAAGAGTGTTTTTCAGCAAGTCAGTACATAAAACAAGCTTTCTTATTATTCTATAGAATCACCTAAACCAACCCCCTTTCCTGTGTATTTTGGTTCCAGTTCAGAAAGATAGTTCAAGTCGATAGGATTACATATTTCTAGAGTTCAGTGTATGCTTATGTACATAACTGAATTGAGACTATTAATTGGGGAGGCAAACTCTTAAGAGGATTATTCAGAACAGCAGTTGCGTTAGAGGTAGAAAGAGAGGCGCATCTGAGTAATTGTCTCTACTGAGTAATTGTCTCTACTGTCTCTATGATCACTTGTATCAAAGCACTAGTTGAGTATATGATCACTTGTATCAAAGCACTAGTTAGAGTTTAAGCAGCTTTTCATTAGCTACATTCTACCTACCTATTGAAAGGTCATTAGACATATTTTGTGTTACTGTCTCAGTGTAGTAATTGCCTCTAAGTGTGAATCAGTGTGCTTTAATGTACTTATGTGCCAGGAAAGGATGAAATCCCAAGGAGTGGGCTTAAAATTCATGGGTGACCATGTGGTGATGAAATAAACAGTGATTTGTCTAGCATCTTACAAAACAAGAAAACGGTGTGTCTAATTTGTCACTGAGAGTCGCTCAATATCTAGCTAGTTGGTAACAACTGTTCACCACGTACACTTTCAGACCTAATACCAGTGCATCTCTTGTTCCTAGCTTTTGCTATGATACAGGAGCTGAAGTAAGTAGTCTACTGAAAGTCCCAAATTATTTGGTCACTACTGCCTTGTAAAGTATAAGATTAATGTCAAAATTTCTCTTCTTGTTTAAACAGTATTGAAAGCTGGAGATTTGGTCTCAGTGTATTCAGATATTGAAGGGAAGTGTAAAAGAGGAGCCAAAGTATTTGAAGGAATCAAAGTTTTCATTGGAAATGGGATTTCTGAACTGAGTCGCAATGAAATCTTCAGTTCAAATGGCCCATTGAAGTAAGTCCATGGTAACTGGAAGCTACACCTGCAGCTTTGGAAAGGGAAGGGAGGAGATGGCAAGGCATTTTGAAACGTTCTGTAGCATATGAGAAACCACATGATAGCTTTGTCTGAGACCTGTATTGCGCATAGGAATTTCTAGCATCTTTTGGGAAGTTTTAGCTTCTGGGAATCTAGAAGGATTGTGCTTCCTGCTCTCTCTTGTAACTTCGCAACTAAGATAGTAGCAATGTGATGGCTGTATGTTTGTATGTGTGGCTGTTTGTTCAAGGAAATCTTAATTATGATTAAAGTACTACAGTAAGTACTAGCAGTTTCCACATTTAGTTGCAGAATGGGTTCTACCTATCAGTTTACTGAAAGAAAGGAGTGGAAATACATAGCTTCTAAAAAAACAATTTTAACTAACATTTGACTTTATTAACATAGGAAAAACAAAAGTGACAAAGGTATGTTGGCAAAATTCCATTTTGGTAAATTTTTCCTTGCTATTTGGTTGGAACCGAAATGCAGCCCTGCACTTCTCCATGTTCCCTAGGAACATTTTTAGAGTTGGAGAAGCAGCACATTAGGTCAGATATCTTCAAAAAATATAACACCATTTGCCAGGGTAGTTAACTAATTCAAGGTTACTTGCTCTTCTGTTTTGTTGCCAGAGCATATGGTTTGTTCCTTTTTCTCTCATCTAAAACACATATAGAAGCAGTGTATAAACAACATTACATCAAATTAATGACTGAAAGTTTACATTATCAGAATGAACTGCAAAAGATTTAGTAAAAAAGATGACATTGTTATTGGAGTTCTATTGTATTATAGTTTGAATATAGTAAAGGTAGCAGTAGTATATTCCTATTAAGTTGATAACATGGAACGATAGTATGTAACACGTGGAGTCCACATGTCTGCTTTTTTATATCCATCCTTCTTATTGTAGGACTCTGCAAAGCATATGCAAAAAGTTATTCATTCTTGTTATCTTCTGTAATTTATGGGGATTTTTTCAGGTTCAGTATTATTTTTCTTTGTTGTCCAGTTTTTTGTTATATAGTTGTCTTTACCCTAATAAAATTATTACAGATTACAATTAAATGAATTTCAGTCCTACGTAAAACTTTCAGGTTGCTCCTAAATTTAAACTTTTGCTTTGCAAGCAAATGAGTGTTCCTATAAGTGTTTGAAATGGATGTTCTCCAGTTGTTCAACAAAAATCTGAGATGTTCTAGAAAAATGGAGGAAGAACTAAATAGGAAATTATGCTCCAGTCCCCTATTATGTACGTGACTAGTCAAAAGGAGTTATGAACTGAAATTAACATATTTAAATCATATTAAAACATATATTTATGCATTGGTTTATATTATTGAGGCTTTGATTACATAACAGCTTGTCATATGTACAAAACAGGTAGATTTGCTGTATGCAAATTATACAGATAGTTCCAATTTATAATGCAGATTTTTTCTTACAGATTACCCAACATAATGATGTCATTTTAAAGAATATTAGATTACACAATTGTAAAAGTATTTGTTTTGTTTATTTATGAATGCTTTTATACTTTCATTTTTGTATAATTTTGTTTCAAGTTATTTGTATATAAGCATAATGATTTCATTGGATAATGTTAAAATTATAAAGCTGAGTAGCTGAAATAAATTGTTCCATATATTTTAGTGGGATGGGCATAAGAATGACAGAGCCAGTCTACCTTAGTCCTTCGTTTGACAACGTGCTCCCTAGTCATTTGTTTTTACAGGTATGTTTATTACAGAAAAAGTCTATACTATTCGCAGAAGAATAAATATCTTCTTAAGTGCTCATTAGGACTCTATTTACTCATCATGTGTTATTGCACCTAATTCACTACTTACTTAAAGAAAATGAATCATTTAAGATAAACATAGTATCTACATGTAGCTGGTACTAACTCTGAGTATCTGTGACTTTAGAAGAGATACTCTCTTAAAAGTTTATAAATTCTTTTTGTACAGATATTCTACATAGATTTTTCAGTTTCTGGAAAATGCCTATGACCTCTGAAATATGAACATCCTTCTGTAGATATGAAGTCTCCAGACAGTAGGCAAGCTTTACGTTGAAGGGAACATCCACATCTTTTATCCCTAATGAAAAAAATCCACTTGAACAAAAGAAACATAAAAATCTTACAGTAGCATAGTTATCACCACCTTGTACCATAAAACTACGATTTCCAAAGAATGACAGATTACTTTGAGATTTTTATTATGAGAATCAAGAACATTCAAGTCAGCTTTTCTTTTTGCAGCGTTAATATTTGTGGATCCTATATTATTTTTCCCCCAAACTAATGAAATTAAAAACAATACTCAGACATGACAATTGGGTAACAGTGCTGTGCTGAAATGTAGGATGTTGAAATTATGGAATTTACTAGTTTTCTTAGATTAGGTAAGTTTACTGATTTGGTTTGCCAAAATAAAAAAGTATGGTGAACACCTCAATTAGATTTTTAAGAGAGTACGCCAATAATGGTACGTATGTGTTTAATGTAAGTATGAACATTCCCTGGGTTTAAAACAAAATCGAGCTATGCAGCACTTTAAAAAACAGACAAAAAATCCAAAATAGCAGTTTGTATCTATAAATGTAAATTGCAGCTCAAATAAACCCTTGTTCAGAGGTACACTCTTAAATTCTTACTAAGTTCTCTCCTCATTTTATTTGTGTAACTGTCACTCAGATAAATAGGTAAGTCCCTTGTTACAGTGCATTGCCTTATTCATAATTTGTTCTATCAGAGCCAGTATGGCAAATGAGTTATTGTCATGCATTTGTAATCAATCTTAATATTTTTAAAAGGGAATCAATGCTGTCTCCTGGTGTGAGCAAAAAGTAGTTTATCAAGCAACATGTTGTCTGATGGCCTGCAATAAAGGAGAGCCCTTTTCTTCCCTGGTTTAGGTTATCAGACTTCTTACTTTCAAGGAAAAGAATTTTTAGAGACAGATTGTTTGAGAGACTTGTACACATGTGAGAATTTAACTTTCATACATCGAGGTCTGCAATTTATTAGTGGAACTGAGTTTTGGGTGCCCACGTTACAGGTTTGGTTTAGAATTGCATAGTAGTTCAAAATTCCTGTGATTTCTGTTTGGAGTGTAGGTTTTTGGTATTTTTTTTTTTTAATATCACAGAATAGTTGACTTGGAAGGGACCAATCCCCCTGTCAAAGCATGGTCACCTAGCCCAGGTTGCTCAGGACCATGGCCAGTTGAGTTTTAAATATCAACAAGGACGGAGAATCCACAACCTCACTGGGCAACTCTTACCAGTGTTTGATCACCCTCACAGTAAGAAAGTTTCTCTTTAGGTTCCAGTGCAATTTCCTCTATCGAAATTTGTGCTCATTGCCTCTCATTCTGTCACTGGATATCACTGAGAAGAATCTGGCTCTGTCTTCTTTATGCCCTCCAATCAGGTATTTATACACGGATGAGATCCACCCCACCCTGAGCCTTCTTTTCTCCAGGCTGAACAGTCCCCGCTCTCTTAGGCTTTCCTCCTATGACCGACGCTCCAAGCACGTAATCATCTTAGTGGCCCTTTGCTGGACTCGCTCCAGTATGTTCTTGTCTTTCTTGTACTGGGGAGCCCAAAACTGGACACTGCAGGTGAGGACTCCCTGGTGCTACACACCTCCTCCAACCTGCTGGCAATGCCTGTCCTAATGCAGGCCAGGATGCTGTTGGCCTTGTTGGCCACAAGGGCACATTGCTGGTGTATGTTGAACTTCTTGTGCATCAGGACCCACAGGGCCTTCCCTGCAAAGCTGCTTTTCAGCCAGCCAGCCCCAGCATGTTGTGGTATATGGAGCGTTATTCCTCCCCAGGTGCAGGACTTGGCATTTACCTTTGTTGGGCTTCATGACATACCTGCTTGCCCTTTTCTCCATCCTTTCAATGTCCTTCTCAATGGCAGCACAACCACCTGGTGTATCAACCACTCCTCCCAGTTTCGTATGGTCTGTAAATCTGTTGAGGGTGCACTCTGTCCCATCATTGAGGTCCTTAATGAAGAGGTTAGACAGTATTGGCTCCAGTATCAATGGGGTGCACCACTAGTGCCTAGCCTCCAGTTGAACTTCGTGCTGCTGATCTCAACCCTTTGAATCTGGCTCTTTTGACTGTAATTTGCCACGTATGAGATGAAGGCCTGCACCTGTGATAGTATTAGCATCCAATTATTGTTCATTGTTTTGAATACTGAGGCGTGGAACTTGAAATTGTGCTAACCAGAGGCAAGATGTAGTAAAGAGAACATAAAACAGTTTTTATACCTTTCTTTTTGGCCAAATTAGAAGAGAATCTTTGAGAGTATGTCTGTATTGTGTAAGATGTTAATACTGCGAACATTGCATTCTTTTCATGCAATTAATAGTGCAGTTCAGCTTCTCTGTACCTTAATTCAGCTAGTTTAAACTCCTGGCTATTCATCTGATTACTTGTTACAAAACTACACTAACATGGTCATACAGCAACTGTTCCAATAAACAGGTCAACTTAAAATATTCATAATATACAGAGCTACTCTATGTCTGTCATGGTATCAACCTATTTAATTTTGATTCTTAGCATTGTGTCCTCAGTCAGAAACCCTTAAACTTCAGTCATAGTTACTCATGTATGGCTTTAAATAAAGAAGAACCAGTAGGGACTTAAAACATATAATTTCTTTTATATAAACATAGTATTCCTCCTCCTGATGTAGGACTGACAGCAATATTGTAGCTGTCTTCACTATTGAATAAGATTTTTTTTCAATGTTCTTCATTACTTAAAATAGGACTTGATACAGGGTAGAAGGCTTGAATTCTCCCATTTTGGTTTTTATGATAGAACTTGCCCTCTGTGGTTGTGAGCCACATTTTAAACCCTCAGCCAGGAGAGAGAATTTTGGACATGTGTGCTGCACCTGGAGGAAAAACAACCCATCTTGCAACGTTAATGCATGACCAGGTAAGAGCATTTTGTGTCTCAGTGAAGAAAATCTGACCGCTGATCGTCTGCACAACTCACTTCACTTATTTATCAGAATCCATAGATAGCTTAGAACAGCAAACCATTAATAGCAGAACATTCTACTTACAATTTATTTTGCAGCACATCAAAGTTACTGAAATGGGCACAAATGTTTTTATCAAATAGTCACCATCACATTTTAAACCTTATTTACTACAAATTGACCTGCTGATACATGTTTGATTTCCCATTTTAAAAATTCTTGATATGTTTCCAGTGGAAGAACATTTGTAACATTCAGGGCAAAGTTACTGAGGAATATGCTGGTTTCATGAAATTGAGGATATATGGAAATCATGGGTTGCTAAAGAGTGCCAAAAAATATACAACTCTTTACAGAAACATGCCAAAAAGCTCCTAATCCAAAGAACTTATAGTTTAAGATCACATCTGTACTGCACAATTTATAATTTTTACTGAGAATTTCTAGCGTAAATTTATCATTCTAAGGTAGAGGGTCAGAAATAAAATATTTTTGCTTTCTAAGGTAGAAAGCGAAAATACTTAATGAGAAATAAATGATGTGAAAAGAGGCAAAAAATTATTATTCAAAGAAAGATAAAGGAAAATAGTACACAAGCCAAAAAGAATGTGGATAGAGGAATAAAGATTTGCATATATCAAATTGGTTTATGCAGACTGAGAAATAGACATGTGAGTTACTCTTTTTTAGCAAAGGGGGAAAAAAGTGTAATGTTTCCTCTAAAAAGTTTATAACTAGTTCAGTTGCCATTTTGGTTGGAAGGAGGGTTTTACACGATGTCAGATGATTTTAAAATCTCACAGTTGCATTATGCAGTACTTCAGCAGGTGTCTATGCATTAATGGGAAGATTTAGCAGTGGTTAATGATGGGTGTGTACTCAGAGAAGACATGTAGTTAGTTCTGTGTGACAGTTTGCTTGACATGATCATTCCTAGTGCTTACTGAAATGTTCATTCCCTCAGCATGGAAAATTTGCAAACGTGTGTTAGACATTCATTAGTCATTTATTAGATAAAGTTGTAGAGCTTCCACTAAAAAAATTCACTGTGGTAAATAAAAATTAAAGTCTGTCATGGATTTGTTTATACTTTATTTATACTTATACTTTATTTATACTTATTTATACATTATACATATACATATACATATACTTATTTCTACATTTATACTTATTTATACATTTATTTATACATTTATACTTTTTGCATGTATGTGCATTTTGTATAACTTTGCATAACTTTTTTTCCCTCAGTCATTTTTGATATTTTGCCTGTGCTTACCTCCAGCTGCAGTAATAAGATTCAGAATGCAGGTGTTGCAATTTATCTAAATCGGTTTTCCTTTTCTGAATAAATATCATAGTTTTAATTTAGATATGGCAAAAATGTCTGCTCATGTAGTTAATTTGCACTGCTCTTTGGTTAAGTTCCATTCACAGATACTCCTTACTAAATTTCAATACGCAGTGTAATAAATCATTTACATTTCAAAAAACATCTGAATAAATCTTATGTTTTTGTGATTTAATTTAAAAAAATAATAATTTTATTTTTAGATCAGGTAATGGAAATGTAAAATAACTCCTTATTTTCTGTGCAAGTGCTTTAAAATATGAATTAGGAACAGTTACAATTCAAGAATGTATTACTATTAATTAGATGTTTAGTGGATATGTAGACTGTCCAGAGCCCAGTCCAGATCACCCTTTTCCCCAGATGTCTTTCTGGCAGTGGCCAGAATGGGCCAGTTGGGGAAGGACTTCTGTCTTTCAGCTTCTTCTCTTTTCTGAGAGTCTCTCAGGAGAAGGATTTCTCTTTGCATATCCACAGGTCAGAACATGTGCCGTAAATCGACTGTTTTAAGGATACACCCAGCCCGCAGGCCTGTTGAGCTGTTACCATGCGTGCGCAGTATGCTGATCTGTGATAGGGAAGGAGCAGTGGCACATGGCCATTGAGTGCCCCTATAAGAGATGATTTGGCATACAGCAGCTGAAGGCTGGACACAATTGGCACAACATGAATCCTTCTCTTTTTTCTTATTCCTAGACCTACATATTGACTAGCATAGATTATTTTTATTGACTGTCTTTTTTCACAGTCTGTCTTGGTCATATGGTCCTTCTGTAAGCCTCTGGAGAGCCATAATGACATAGGAGAAGGTTGTCATTGTGTTCTCTCAGCAGGTTCTGATTGCTATAGCAAGTCTTTTTTTAAAGGTTTTTGATCTTCGCTTTTTTTCCGAAGGTAGTATTACTGTTTTGGTTTTTATGGTTGCTATTGAAAACGTGTTCTTTTCTTTGTGTTTTTAAATTTCATCTAGCAAGTAGTGTTGTGTGTCTGTTTTGATTTATCTTGGTGAGGAAAAGATAAATCTGTTCTTACATAAAAGGAATGATGTGTAATTGTGATCCCTCCCCCATGTCTAAATTTGTTCTCGAAGGTACATTCTTTCCCAATAGAACTTGAATGACGACTACCCTAAGTGTTATGAATCTGAGCAAGCTAGAGATCTGGAGGAGGTGGGCCTCATTTCCCTGAGCTGTATGGGATCACATCCTCTATTTGTCTCTTACTATGTCCATGCAAATTTAAAACCTGTTGGCTATTTCTACCACATATTTGAGACTTCTACCCTCTTTTAAATGATTAAATTTTAATGAGATTCATATAAACCAGTTCTTGAAGCATAGAAAAACCTAACTTAGTGCCCCAGTAAAAAACAAAATAATAAAAAAACCCTTGACAGAAGTCTGCCATTAATTATAGGTTGCCTTTGGCAGTGATCTGATGACCAAGCAGGTGCCAATCAGAACGCACAAAGCTCCAGACTCGTGTCTACCATCATGGGAGGAACACAGAAGATGGGGAAGAACAAGGACAACTGTAGTATGGGTTTAGGGATAATAACATTCTGTAGAGAAAGCTAAGCTTCACTCATTATACTGCTCACAGAAAAAAAAAATCAGGAACTGCACATCCAGTTAATCCCTTGTTTTTGATATAAAACTTTTATTTTCCAGGGCGAAGTAATAGCCATGGACAAGATAGCCAACAAGGTGAAAAAAATTAAGCAGAATGCTGAATTGCTTCAGCTGAATTGCATTAAGGCCTTTTGTTATGATGGAACAAAAGCACTTTCAGTTGAGAAGCGAGAGGATGAACAAGGTAAAGTAACCACCTTGGGTAACAGCTTTTAGAAGAAAATGGTAATTGTATTGGTGCTAGTGTTATTAAACCTGCCACAATATCCACAAGGCTTTGAAATATTGGCAGTAACCTAGGTTGCCTTAATTGCTGAAGAGCAGAAAATAAAAGGGCATCCAGTGCGCTATCAGTTTCTCCATGATGCAAATACAGAACTCAAACTATCTGTCTTTATCACAGCTTAATGGGCTCAAAAAGAAACGTATTCCTTTTTTAGATAATATCCAAGACTGACAAGGTGTTAACCTTCTCTCCGTGATAGCATTCAACCCCATACTCTGAATTGTTTAGCTCAGTCTGAGAAAGAAGTGACTTTGGCACAATTGCTTGGCTTCTCTGCCTCGGAATCCTCATCTGTAAAGTGGGGTTATTAATACCTAACTCCCAGGAGCGCTACAAGGCTTAGTTCATTAATGTTTGTTCAGCTGCTTGGGGCATACAGATGGAAATTGCTATAGAAGCACAGTGTATTATTTTAAGCTCATTTAATTTTAAGTTCAGTTCTTTTCTGAAGTGCTGTATTTATGATACTGGTGCTGTTCCCATGATGGAACTATTTAAATGGTATCTGCTGTCTTGATTATTTTTAGTTTGTTGTGCAAAGTATGCTGTTCTTTCTAACTCTGTTTTAGCCCAGCTACTGGTTAACCTAAATAGGGATCAGGTTGCATAATTCACCTGCCTTCTCCCTAAGCCTTGCTGTTAGAATGCTTTGCAGGGATAAAGATATTTTCTTAATAGTCTTTCTGTGAACATAAAATATTGTAGTTGGTAGTTAGCACTTACATAGCTGAACAAGAGCTGGCTATAATACTAAGAGATCATGAAAGCTTTTCTGTACGTCTCTGCAGTTAAGACATGTGACATATTTTAAATGCTTTAGTAACAATGTTTTAGAGGTAGATGAATCAATAGTGCCAAAACAGAGTCTTTTTGCAGTGCTGGAACAAGCTAGGTAGCAGTAGTATGAAGTCACCCACTTGTTTTCACTTGTGACCTAACTTGAATATTTGAGAAACAGAAGGAGAAAAGAGGCAAAGCATATGTATGGCTCTCTTCCTCATTGGTTAATCACAGATACACATATGCACTCACTTTTTCCTTGATTAGTCTGTCCTGAAGAGTCACTCTAGCACTAGGACTATAGAAATTTTTGACTGTTAAGCCAATGGGATTCAGACGAAAGCACAGGCTCTTCAGACAGAAGGACAGAAGTTACGTATTCCATTATCTATCCAGGTGATATTCAGAAATAGTTCTCCTTCCTTCACAACTTCAGACAGAAGGACAGAAGTTACATATTCCATTATCTATCCAGGTGATATTCAGAAATAGTTCTCCTTCCTTCACAACCGTTACTTACTCAATTGTTTCATTATAGAGCCAACACGTGTCACGTATTAGAACATATATTTCACTTCTTTTCACTTCACACGTGCCTTGTTTTCTGCAGATACAGAAGCATCACAAGAACTAGCTATTATTATATAGGCACTCCAATTATTACTGTATAAGGCAGTCTTAACGATTAACTGTAGGCTTTTCTCAGTTAAGATTTATGTACTTTTTAGTTCAGTTACGAGCTGATTTTTGGCTCATGACAACCTGTATGTACAGCTCTATACTTAGTACTTGTAATCAATCATGTTTTAATGCTTTTGTTTGTTTTTATATTTTAGTTCCAAAACATTAAATTAAGGTTGAAAAATGTTACAGCCTTGAGTGATTATAAATTGTTTGAGCTCACAGAACTGTAAAACTCTTTCTTTTCTGTGAGATGAAATCCATCACCAGCAGTGCTAAGCCTTTTCTGTAGCTGAAATCACTTTTGCAGACGCCACCTATATAACATTAATGTTTTATGACAAGCAAGCAATAACAGCTTGTCGTTACCTGTCGTGAAGTCTCAAGAAAGGAAACAGCCACATATTTATCCTGCGGCTTTTACATTATTACCTGCTTTTTGCAGAAGGTCCTCCTTTTTTACCAGAATCATTTGATCGAATTCTTCTTGATGCTCCATGTAGTGGGATGGGGCAGAGACCAAACATGGCTTACTCCTGGACTCTAAAGGAAGTAACATCTTATCAGCCACTGCAACGCAAGCTTTTCACTGTGGTATGTATTCATCATTGAGTAGCTAAGTAAAATTGCACAAGTTTTGCAGTACAAAACTTACCTCACCCCCACCCCTAAATGGTACTTCATTTTCTCTACCTTTTCAGCAGTTAAAGGCTGGGATGTTATTGCCCAGAGCAACAAATTGCAAAGTTCTCTTTTTTTTTCTGGTCAAACAGACAACCAGAGTTCTATGAAACACTGCTGTTCATAAAACTGCTGTTCTGCAGTGTCTCCCCTTCTGAATACAAGTTTCACGTCAGTTCTTTGCCCTTCATCCATAGTAGGAAAGCATCAAGCACTAACTTGTTTCTTTTTCCTCACAGGATACCTTTGCTAAGCTTTTCTCTTTCCGAGTTTCCCCAGCAAAGTTTCTTCTATCACAAAGCCCTCAGCAGTTGTTAGCTTATCCCTGAACTTATCTGAAGAATATTGGAACTTAAATATTTTGTCTAATGTCCCACCAGGTCTTGTGCTATCACTGTCCTTGGGGAACAATAGTTCCCAGGACACATACTTGTTGTTGCACAGATATATCCTAGGATGCAGGCTGCCCCTATGAAACTAGTGTACCTGGTGATAAGTTTTAATCATTGAAGTCTACCTAGCTTTTAATTCCTGTTCTCTATATGCCAAAAGATTTCCAAATCAGTGCAGTTTTCTTCAATATATCCTTAAATTTGGGAGTTTCTGTTTGAGGAGTGAAACCCAACCACATCTAAGACTTTGTTTTTGGATAGCTACAGAGATGGAGGAATCCCTTGAAAACTAGACCTCATGGTGTTCTTTCAAGATGCTACTACTTTTAGAATATATTTATTTCCCTCTATTGCATCTGGTCTTGCTTAGAACAAGTTAGAGAACATGAGTCATTTGTTCAGCTTTGTTCTCTGTCATTCACAGCTGTTGAAGTCAAAGAGAAGGAGGAAAGTTTAAATCATTTAGGACCACTTAGATATTTATAAAACAAGATTGCCTTATCTCATCTTTCATAAAACTTGTCCTTTAAGTAAAGACGATAGTGTTAAGATTCAGTTAATCTTTCAGTCCCACCATTATCTGCTGCTAGGTGACGTCAGTTCAGTGGAGTATGGGATAGATATTCATAAACCACAGTAAATAAGAAAGTTTACCTTTTTTTTCATTCTTTCAGTTCCATGACTTTCAGTGTATAATACTCTGAAGGGTCCAAGTCACAGAGCAGGTTAAAGTCTTTCCACTGCAGCAGCATGGACTTTTGCAGCTTCACTGCAGATAACTCCCTTGCAGTGGTGCTGTAAGGTGCTATGGGATATGTGATGGAGTACAAAGCGAAAAGAACATACTACAACTCTGACATCCTATTAGGAGTGTGCTTGGGCTGATGCTAAAGGGTAGGATTTCATGAAACTTGTCTAAATCCAAATCACATGTATTCAAAGTGAACCAGGGCTTGAAAAACAGCACTGATACACCTTTCACGCCAACTATGTGAAAACAGTTGACGTGCAGTATCACTGAAGAAAGTACTATGTGCAGCTGGTGATGAAGACAGAACTAATCTGTCCGAGATGTCCAGAGCTGTACAAATAACATAAGAGTGCATCATCTCAATGCCATTTAATAAGCTGCATGAGTTATAATGCTGATTTGGAAAGCAAAGCCTTTCTAATCCATGCGACTCTTTACCATATTCCCTCAAAAGAATCAATATCCTAATGCCTATTTTAGACAGACAGATTTGAGTTTAAGTAAGTGTTATATTTACTTGTTATAGCATGTTTCTGTACTTCCACATAATAGGTAACTTGTATTCAAAATCATTTTGCATTCAAATATAAGCTGAACTATAATTTCTTCCTCCCTGTAGGCAGTGAAATTGCTGAAGCCCGGAGGCGTTTTAGTATATAGTACATGTACAATCACACTTTCTGAAAATGAGGAGCAAGTTGCTTGGGCCCTGGAAAACTTTCCATGCCTCCAGCTTCAGCCACAGGTAATAATATTTTCATAGTACTTCACACAGTCCAGTGAGCTTGTTTTGGCACTGTGAAGTTAAGCACTGTATTTACTATTAACCAATCTCTTTTTTGCTACAGACAATTTTAGCTGCTATAGTTAGAAATAACACAAGGATTTCTGAGGCTTTTTAAAAACTATTTTCACATCTAACTGAGCTTCATTTGACAAACATTAAGTAGTTTCACAGACTGAATCCCACTGTGTACTGTGGTGACTTCGATTTGTACAACAGTCATTTAAAACGTAGTAGAGAGAAAATTTCTCTTGCAACTCTTTGCTTATAACGCATGTATTTTATTCCCTTACTTTGCACGTTCACAGGAGAGGTGAAAAACCTTTATTAAAGCTACTGAAATGATGAATAGTTGCATTAGAGATGAGAGAAAAATACAAAGAACCTGGTGTTTTGAGGATGGACAGTTTTATATATATGGGAGCCATCTATGTATTATTTAGAGGAATGAGGGAATAAATTTATTTCAGGCCTAGTACCTTTCCTTTTGTGGAGCCAGTATCTAACGTTATGGTGTCTGGGAGGAGGCAACATGCTGAGTTGGCTAGTTGTTAATCATGGTGGCTTTGAGGAAAAATTTAAATTTGCTATCTGTTTTACTAATACATTCTGTAATGATTTGTATCTGTCTTCACAGAGTAAGTGATAGATGCATATTTAAAAAAATACAAAAATACAATGGGTGTACAAAGAGATGAGAAATTACACAAAAGCTACTAAAGATTTAACAGAACTGAAGCTTTTCTTAAAGCTTTGTGTGTCAGAGGTTTTTCACCTCCTAGCTCAAATTCAGACTTCCTCACCATCCATTTATGAGGAAATTTCGAGTTCTAGCTGTTTCAGATGAGATTATACCTTTTGCCTAACAGCAGAAAAAAATTGTCCTTGATAGAATGACAAAGCAAAACACAGGCCCTATTAACTAACTCAAATGCAAGATTCATTCCAACTTCAATAGGCTTGCTCCCTCACCAATCATATCAGCATTGAATAAAGCACTAGTTTTCCCACAGCAATGCCATCTATATTAAAATTAAGGGGTTTTTTTTTATATACTTTAAACTAGATGACACTGAACTGTATATCCACAGATAGTTTATAGTATCTTACAGCCAGTTATCCAGTAGTTCAAAACACAGCAATCTTTTCCTGTGAAGAGGAAACTGGAGTTGAGGGTCAAGTTACCCCCTGCTCCCCTTACGTACTTCCTGTGTTCTTTAGTCTCCTAGTGGACTGCTTTATTCCCAGTCGAATATCTCTCACTTTCTCACTTGGCAACAGGTCCAGGAAACATATTGGGAAAGACAAAAACAGGAGGTGCAAGCATGGGCATTGATCTCTCAAAGGTGGAGGTTACTGCATGGCGGCCGATTCTTGGTTTGTGCAGGCTTGCTTCCCTTTAGAGATTTACATACAGGAGATACTGTATATCAGCTTAAATTAAGTAACTAACTAGAGGGAAAAAGGAAGAGGTAGAGACAAATGGTGTCCTTCCTTCCACTGAGCAAGTCACTTGAGCCTGTGTAATAGTGTCTTTTACCTTCCCCTCCTTCTGTTAACATTATCTCAAGCTGCTATCCCTGTCTCCCTTTACAATTTTTTTGTCTCCACTTGCAATGGACACTTCTTTTTGTCTCTTATCTGGAAAGCATTAAAATCCCGCTGAGGGAAAGGAAGCGAAGAAGCAGGCTGCAGGCTCTTGGCAGCCCAGCTTCGCAGTGCATGCTGTGTCGTTAAGCAACTGCCTCATCATGTGCTGACTGCTGAGCTCGTGTGTTAGCAGAGCCTGGTGGCTCAAAGAGCGCTCTGCTGCAAGCTGCACTATACACTACACTAGGCTAGATTTAAAAAAGAGAATTATTTTTTTGAGTAAGCCTTCTTTTTGTTTTCTTCCAAAGAGATGCCTTTTTAGGCAGTCAGTTATTCTGGATTAGGGCTTGAAATCTCTCCAGTTGAAGTTGTAAAATTGAGGAACCCACATATCTCTACTATTACTGAGTATATTAGTTACCAGCTAAGGATCGACTATTTTTGACTTCATATCTAATTATTAGTCAGTGCACAGATTTAGAAGTGAAAACGTAAAGGCCTTAGAACTTTTTATTCTCTGGTGGTAACAGTTCTTGTGCTAGGGAAGGTTTCACTCCTGTGAGCGATGATTTAGCTCTGTGGGTACCCATCCCCCACTAAGTGCTCTCATTACTAAACTACTGGGCTAAAAAGGGATCAGTTGTCCCACCTCCTCCTCAAGGGGTTCTGGGCCTGGTATTTGTGCTCATCGTATATGCATCTGCCATTAAGGCAAGAAAAAGAAGGACCACATTACTTTTGAGTTTCCCCATGCTGTAAATGTTATAAACTTAGCTTGTCCATGCTCTTAAGGTTTAGGCATTGCTACATATACTCAGGAGAAGACATTTAGGAACTCTACTGATGAAATAATTTGCTTTTCTTTTTTCCGTAAAAAGGAACCTCATGTTGGAGGAGAAGGCATGAGGGGAGCTGGGCTGTCGCTTGTTCAGTTGAAGCTGCTGCAGAGATTTGATCCATCTGCTGTGACTTTGCAGGGAATGGACATTAATTCTTTGCAAGATTCCAGGGAAGATAATTTGATTTCATTGGCAAATAAGGACTGTATAGGATTTTTTATTGCAAAATTTATTAAATTGAATAGTAAATAAGCATTTAGCCATACAACCTGAAAAAATACCTTTGTGAGTCTAAGAACAGTTCAGACGTTAACTCTATTTCTTACTGCTGCAATGTTGCGTTGCCAAGCCAACAGACTGACGACACGGTTGCTATGGTAGCAATAAAATCTGCCAGCTGTTCTGCTGGGAAAAAGCCACAGGTTGCAGAAAGAAAGTCAGGGCTGGGGGAGGGGGTAGTATAATTTTTAAGTCTCCACTTGCTTTTGTATTTACAGCAGATCAGTGCAGGAAAGACAAGTATGTTCAAGCAGCCTGTTGTCTGTTGTATCGTGTGAGTAGCTCATCTAGCACTGCAAACATAGGAAGAACAGGGTTTCGCAGCGGGTAGGGTGGGAGGTAAGCTACCTTATGAAATGCAGTCATAAATAAAATACACTGGAACGGGTACTGCAGATTTGGGAACAGGTGGTTTCTGTGGAGGTTTACCAAAACGCTTCATTAAATAGTGCTAAGTGAAACACTGTAATATTTCACAAAGAACTGTTTTATAAATTGATACTTAGAACCTCATTTCACTTTTATTTTAATACAAGCAAGAATCTCTGTACACATAGTATATACACAAAATACGATTAGGCTTTGTAGCATGTCTTTTATAGCAGCATGAATATATTAAACCATCTCACTCTGGGAATGTAAATAAATATTGTTTCAACATCAAACTTCCCATGCATAAACCGTATTGGTTCTGAAATAGCCTACTGGACTGGCTGACAAATGACAGTGTTAAAACCAAACATTTGCAATAGAAGGGGCAGCAGTTGTGATTAATATAGCAAAAGACAGAAAACAATGCATAATACCAACTGAAATGTTGCAGATTACCTTTCAAACAACTTAGAACTTAATTCTAAGTCTTTACTGGTTAGACAGTATCATCTGCTAAAATCATGAAAATTGAAACTGGGGAAGCACACTAATGAGAACTGACTTAAAACACTGCTCAAACGTTTAATAATCTAAATTGCATAAATTTGTTAGATGTATTTGCAATTTCTGCTTCAGTTCCAGAGATGTTTTCATTTTGAACAGTATTCTCATCACTGGAACTGGCAATAGCACTAAAATTGGGGAGAAAAAGGTAAGTACAACTCAAAAACTTAAACTGACTTTTTTTTTTGCCACTGATAAATTTCTAGTTTTTAAAAACATTATCTGAAAAACTTCTTACTTTTGGCATAGAATTATTTGGTTTCATTTAACAGAGTGATGTTAGTTTTATAATGTACTTTTCCTCAACTCTGTTTCTTGTCACAAGTGCTTTTGCGTTTGTGTGTAATCAAAACAATTTATACAATTCTGTATCTCAGTAGTCTGTTTATTTACTTACATATGCTATAAATGTTCTTATACAGAATATCTTCTACTGTTGTTAAATAAAACAGATGTCGCTTCTTCTGTTTTGCCAAAGGTGACTGTACTACATGTACGAGCTCCTTCATCCTCTGAAAGGCCTGTCCTGGCAAGAGAGGAGGATGGGATCCTTGTCTACTTCTTACCTACTTTTCTTGGTCCCTCCTTGCAGTTAACCATGACGTGGCAAAAGAAGAATTAAAATTCATCTTTTTTGCATCAGTAGTAGGCGAAATATCCTATTTAGAATCATAATAGTTCATATTTTAAATTATAGTTGTTTTAGTCTAAATATGGCTAAAATAATTACTTGGTAACAAAATTATTAGTTTTCTGTTGTCTGTTGTATGTACATGTTGAAATCTGTAGCTCAGTGCTAGTAAAAGACCATTTTATTTTTGCAGAATATATAAATTCAGTAAACGTTAACCAGCATGTGTAGACAGTATATTGAAGTCTGCATTACATTTATAAAGTAAGGAACTTTTGTCTTCATGTTCAGTAGCAGGAGCTGTGTAATACTGAATTTGAAAAATTTTAAAAATTTGCTGACTTTTTAGTGGAGGATTTGTTGAGACTTTCCCAGATTTCTCTAGTTCTGAATAAAAAACAGGCTTTTCAAAAAGTTGATCTCACTTGATTTTATAAGACAAGTTTCTCAGAAAAAAAAATTTTGTTATGACTGACTTGTGATTCCAGTGTAACTGCAGACCACACTTAACCCAGAAAAAATTACTGATATCTGAACTTGCACTACTAGAGTTATTTCTGCAAAAATCATTGCTGAAGTTAAAAGACTATTCAGCATATTAAAGGGATAAACCTCAGCTGTTTCCCCAGGCCCTCCCTCTGCGGGCAGCAGAGAGAGATTGAAGGAGGGAAGGCAGGGGAGAGGGAGGGAGAGAGAGAGAAGGGGAGAGGGAGAGAGAGAAGAGACGAGACTTCTCCATCAGGCAGGTCAAAGCAGAAACTTAATTAAGATACTCTGAATCACCCTTTGAAGGAGCCAGCCTCCTTCGACTACAGGAGGAGACTGGTTGACTAAGTTAGATATCTGAAGTTGGAAGGATGCCCTCCTTTTTTTTTCTTTTCTTTTCCAATTTTATTGTGACTTTAAAGTGCAGATTATTTTTTTTTCACAATTTTGATGTATGCGTGTGTATGTGTTTTTAATACATAGTAGGGTTCCTTTCCTGCTAAGAATGCTTTACAGACTGCATCATAATGCTTCAGTGTGACTGAAGCACAATTGAAATACATTTACCATATGAGATATTTATATATTGAATTTAAAAAGGTATTGTCATTTTAATTTAAGATTAACCAAAAAAAAAAGACAGATTAGGCATATAATCAGAGCCTGTCTTAAAAATAAAAGAATCTGAAAAATAGTTTCTCTATTTGTAGAAATAGTGATTAGTAATAGTGCCAGATCTAAATATTTATCTTGATCAATATAAAGATATTAAAATAGGCAGCCTACAATAGCATGAAATTGTAACAACAGCTTCTTTCTGTGTAAGGGTCATGGAATCCACCAACATTTTTAGACTGTAGGATTTCATATGCTCTTAAAGGAAAAAGGAATACTTATTAGTAAGAAAGCAGGCTAGTGATGGTGATCAACAAGAAATGACTTTGGGTGCTTCTTTTTATATATATGTACGTGTATATACGTGTATACATACATACATACATACATACATATATATATATATATATATACACCCCCCTATATTTTAAAGAACTGTCTTCTTATGCTTTTTTGTGACTAAATATTCAACGTTGTTCATTTTAGTTCAAAGTACCACAAACAGTTTTAAAAACTTATTCTAGAAACTACCAAATAATTTATGAGCAAATCCAGTAATATGCTGCTAGAATTTGTTGCAGAGTACCTAGGAATGATGGATAGAAGTGGTGAGAGTAAAGTAAGAAAAAAGATGTTCTAACAGATGAGTTAGAAGAAACAGATTCATCTCTAACATTATATCTGATGTAAAACTTTTTTTTTTAACTGTGTAGGAACACATCTCTAGGGTGTTATACTATAAAAAGAAACTGTTTCTGTAAAACTACTGTAAGCTTATATGTAGCTTAGTTTCTTATATAAAAGTGGGCAAATGAATTATAGACACAATTAGAATCTGCTGAATAACAAGTTTGAACAACATCTGACTGAAAATATTCACAAGGCAATAGCATCCACATATTTTACAGATGATAAAACTAAAATTTTGGTGAAAGATCTGTAATAAAGTTATAAATATAACAAAATGTATACCAAAAATGTCACTTGACACTCTGAAAAAGAATTGCTCTGCCCCTCCTGTAAATTGTATGCTAGTTTCTTGCACTGTGCTTTATTTTCATGGAGGGAATGGAATTAAAGTCAAAATTGTAAAAAAACAAAAACAAAAAAAAACCCCAAATCCAGAGGATTAGGAGAATGAGCATTTGGGAAATAACTTTCTGCCTCATGTGTTAAAAAAAATCAGAGGTCAAATGTAATCAGAAACCAAAATAAATCTTGAGGAGGCTTTAGTAACTACCGTAGGAGGTAGTTTACGCTAACCTTTTTATTTTTTGCCGACACTGATTGAAAGCAATCAGACCACTCATTACGTTCCAGCTAAGGGCCTGATAATGGACAGATGGACGGCTGTGAGTAGGAACACTTGAAAACCTCTGCAGCTGTCACAGAAAGTAATTCTGACTTTACAAACCAATGGAGCTTAAAAATGGTAATTACTAACAAACAGAGTCATAAGATGTAAGTATTAAGGGGGCAGAGTATTAGAATTGGGCAGGAACTGCATGTATAAGATGTAAAGGGTCTGCTGGATGTATGACAAGATATGCAGGGCGAAGGAAAATGAGCTCTGTACTTTGATTCAAGGTTTGACAAGTGGAACTTCATTTCCTTACCCCCCATTTATAGTAAGGGCTATAGGTGAAGAATTTCACACACGTCATTTTATGAGTTTCTGTTAAAACAGATACACCATTCTAACTCAAACTGATTATAGCTTTAAAATAGTCTTCATTAATTAGGGCCAAAGCCATAGGAGAAACTACCTATTTATATTTTACATCTTGAGAAGCCTAAATTGTAAAAGAAGTCTCTCAAATGCTGAACTCTAGCTACCACACAATTTGAATTCACACGTATTCTAAAAGAAAGATTCTTTTTAATTTTTAAAAATAATTTTTTAATTTGTAGTGATTAGAGAAAATGTGTTAATTGATTTCAAAGCAGCTTCTTTTAACTCTCAAGTCTTACTGATGCTAAATTTGTTCACAAACCTGCTTGTTTATTCTCCCAAGCTATTCTGTCCCTGAGACTATTACTCTCCCCTCCTTCCAAATCCTCCTCAAGAATTCTTTCTTCCATGGTGTCTAGGTAACACTAAACTGAGACTGTAGGGCTGTTGAACAGCACTGATGTATATTCATTTGAGAAGACACACAAAACAAAAAGTTCATATATAACATATACATAAATGTTAAATTGTATCCCATTCCTTTCATAGGCTGAAAGCCTTAGGAAAAATAGTGAGAGCTGATAAGACCTATGTATCACTTAACTATTTTACCATCTTCCCTTTCCTTCTTTGTCCTTTGTTTTATCTTTTTAGCTTATTTTAATAGAGATATTACAGGTTGTTTTGTACCACACCTACACAAGAGAACTCTGGAGCTAACTGGGACCTCCAGCGTTTCTCAGATTCAAAGCTCTTGAAACCAGATACAGAAATATGAACCCACTGGTATCCTATGCAAACAATAACGTTAAAATTTCCATTGGCAAAACTTTGCAAAGCCATTTCATCACAATAACCTTTGATATGTCCTCCAGTTGGATTATTTTTAAAGCAGTCTTCTTAAAAACTGTTGAAGTGCTTTTGAAAGTAGTGCTCAGCAGGCAGGTGGTATTGTGCAAAGTGTGTAGTACAAGCTCACATTACAGCTGATTTGTCACTTTTAAAACAATTAACTGAAGGAAAATAGCAAGGCTAATAAAAAAAAAAATCTACTGAGAGTGTCAGCCTAAGAAACGTAAGTATTAGTATGTTGCCTATACATAGTTAGTTGCATTATACAAAAAATAATTCTCTCACTGAGTTGGATGGGGATATGCCCTTCTTTGGGAGAAGATATTTATATTCCTTAAACCAATATAGGCGTCATACATAAATATCAGGGCTTGGATTATGCTCTTTATTTTCTCATTTATTTGTCTCTATAATGGGTGCTTACTCCATGGTTTTCACGTACAACTACTCAGTGCTTTGAAACTTTGCCAAACATTCCCTAAGAAATACTTCTAAGAAAGGTGGAAAGTTAACACTTCTTGGAGCAAGAGTAAAAAACAAACAAATAAAAAAAATAAGGGTACTGAAGTGGAACGGATCACTTCCTTGGAGGACGTAGCCCTCCGATAACAGCTGAAGGGAGCAAAAGAATTTACTGAAGCTGGTAAAATAGCTAAAGCCAGGCTGTATATAACAATATAAATCTCTTTGCATTTAAATTTGATCTGATATGATTCAAACACCAAAAACTCTTTCAATGATGTCATTTCCACTGATGATACACTGAAAATCTCCTTATATCAAAAGCCACTGTTTATATAGGCTCATCTATCCATTTAGTAATACAGCAGGTCTACTTACCTATGCTTCCTTTTTCTGACAAAGTCATTTAGTGATGTCTAGAGAAATGCTGAGACTTTTATTTCTAGAAAAATACCCTTTTTCGCATGTGCCCCAGAGCTCATGTTCTGAGTCAGAGTACCCTTGAATTACCACAAGGGACAGCAGCACTGGGAGTCATGTCCAGATATCTGACAGCAGAATCTCACCCTCTTGAGCTGTTGTAAAATAATGCATGTAAACCATCAGGGAGGGCAGACAAAATATCTTTAGGGGAGTCAAACTGAGTTGCCTGGATGCTGGAATAGAAGACTGGAGAATACATGCACATCCCATATAGCTTATCCATTTCACTAAAATGATATTCAAAAATCAGGCAATGCTGATATTCCCAGAATTAAAATAATAAATAATAAAAACTTCCAGCTAAATGAAGTATTATCCCACTACAATCTTTATATAATGTGTTATTTACAGTGAAATACAAAAAAGTATTTCATTCATACAATTACTACAAAGATTATATGTGATGCAGAACAGCCTTTACACCAGGCAAGGGTATGGAACCTGTGGCCAAAAATAATTATGAATTTTCCCCCACTTACCAGTGCAACAGGTGTTCAATGCAAAACAAACTGTTTTCACTCTCTTTGATTTAAATGCACTTTCTCTAGTAAGCCTGTAACAGACAGAATATTTTGTCACAGTCATTTTTCTAAGCTCTTACTGGCAGCACAACGGTTTAGGTGAAGGAAAAGCAGTGAGCTGGCTGCAAAGTGGGAATGCAGAGGAATTGGCAAGTGTAGAAAAAAGTGGAGAAGCTACAAAAATTTATTTTCCAACAAAATAACTCTCCACAAGCTGTGTAAACTTTTCTTACTAAAACAGATACTCTAAAACACAAAGATTTTACATTTCCAGTGAAACACTCACAGTAACATTTGCCTGTGTTTTTTACTCTCCTGGAGTCTCAACAAAGAGCCAGCAGATTTATGCTTTCTCAATTACCTGGGCCAGTAAACTCCCTCATGTTCCCTGACTGCAATTTGGAGTTTTAAATTAATAGACAGAATGAAGAAACAGACTTCCTGGGCTTTTGACTAACCTTTGGTTTCTTCAGTAGATTTTCACACTTTGCTGCCTAATGTGCACACGCACACCCACACGCATCCGCCACCCACCTGCTCACATGCACACCGCTGTGGTGTGTGCTCTGTTATTCTGACAATAGAACAAAAATTGTGTCCATTGCAACTGCGTAATCTGTACAGAGAAGAATAATTTATACTGGTAAGTTAGTTATCTTTATCATAAATTTAAAATGCAAAATTGAGTTTGCAAGGACAATATTAGGTATAAGAATTAGACCCTTTATCTCAAGCATTCATTCATATTTACAATAAGTATAAGCTTTCTGCTACAGAAGAAAAAGATTTGAATTGAACACTGTTACAGATTCCCTAAATGAGGCTAGTTCCAGTTGCCAGTAATTCAAAAGCAAATCTGCTGACTTGGCATTAGGACTCTAAAACAGTGTGATCAAACTTATATAGTAAGAAGGTGTCTGCAGAAATAACATTTATAAACTGTATATACAGTACACAGTACCAGTACATAGAAAATAGATTCTGACTTTATGATCCCCTGTGTGTAAGGCAAGACTGAATTCTGTCCTCAAATGGAGTCCACTAGAGGTACAAGCAACAGATAGTGGCTCTTAAATCAATATGCAAATCAAGTGCATACAAATTAAAAATCAGAGCAGACAAAAGTTTTTGTTTTTTATGTGCTGATTCTGGCTTGCTGAATACACGGGAAGTTATTAAACATCAAAGGTACCTTTTTTAAAAACACTAACACCACCTTGATGGCAACAGATATTGTTCAAGTGGCAGCTACCAAAAACAGCTTGAAAAAAAGGCATAGTACAACATCAGGAAGTCTGCAGTTGTACTATGCTGATTCATATAGCACTAACCAAAAAAATAAGTATATGAATATTCTATTTCATGCTATTGCTATGCAAGCAACAGCAATACAAATCAGCATACAGAAGGATACCATATGTTCTGCAATGAAAAACCCAAAGATATTTTCAAGGGGCATTGTCACAAGACTTCAAAGAAACACAAGACTGCCAGAGGCAGAAGTTACTGACGGATGTAAACATCCCTGTTCCATTCTCCGGTGTCGTTACGTTTTTTAGATATCACTTCCCCATCCTTGTCACAATATTGGTCCCTTGATTTATGACGACTACGTTGTTTGTTGCATTCATTGTGGTCCTGCTCGCGGTCCCTTTCCTTTGAGCGATGCCTTGATTCTCTATGTCTGTGATCACTGCTCCCATGGGACTCGTCTCTATGATTGTGGTCCCTGTGAGAATCGTAGTGGTCACCATGCTCATGTGAATAGTCCTCCTTTGGCTCTATGTACGCTGAATCTCTGCTGTCTTGTGTTTCTGAGTCAAAAGTTTCTTGCCTAGAAAGGCCTCGGCTAACACCACTGCGATGGTTATGGTGCTGGGATGAGGAAGAGCGATGCTGGGATTTCTTGATGGGTTCTACCCGTGCTTCCTCTTCAATTTGTGAACCGCTGCGTTCAGGGACTGAATGGTCATTCCTCTGGTCTCCTTGAGATCCCTGGTATCACAACCAGCAGTAAGTTCACGTACATGAACTGCACATTCAAAAACTTTCTCCAATATCAAATTAAACTAGAAAGCATCATGAAACCAACAAAATTTAAGTACACAACAGTCCACTTTTTGAATCTAATCTAAAAATATTAGAGTTCAACTTTTACTATAAATTCAGTATTATAATACAAACAGATCCTTTTCTTCTAAACAAAATGGAGGGTTGTACTCAGGTCGTTCTGTGACATTTTCTTAATGCCTGTCATGTTTCTGAATACTCCAGTTAGCAAGAATTGCCTACCAAACTCCAGACAAAAAGGGACCGTGCAGAACAAATGGCAGAAAAATGAAAGAGGACACATCATACCAGGAGAGGGCAGATAACAGCTGAGAGTTTATAGAAACCTGTTTGAAAACAGGCACTATGGGAGATTGATTTTCAAGGAGTTCACATGCAGGCTGAGAAGATGGATTTAGGCAGAAAATCCAAGGTACAAAACCCTGGCTTGTTTATTTTTTTTTAATTTTTTTTTTTAAAGAAATAAAATACAACTGAGTGACACTAAGAACGTTTGTATTATGATACTAATAGTATCACTGCCCCTCTGTTTTTCCCAGTAATAATTCATTTTCCTCCTGGTAATGAAAAATTAAACCTCATAATTTAAGCACTCAAGAATACTGATCATTGCCAAGGAAAGCAGGAGGAGAGTGATATTATCACCTGAAGAATTTCCTATCAAACTGCTACTGTTAAGAGATTGAAATAAAAATTACCAGGTAAAATCAAACCTACTCTTCATCAGCATAATGCTTTGAAATCACTGCAAAATGAACAAGTGGAATTATTGAACTCATTTTGGGGTTTGATTGCATTAACCTGCTTTTCTCCCCAAACCACAGCCAAAGATTTTCAGTCTTAATTTCAAAATTTTAGGAAATAGTTTATGGTCAAATTGAATTATCCTCCTCACATTAGGTTAAGAACGTCAACAAAAAATTCTACCTACTAGCACAAAATTAAACCAAGTAGACTTTAAGAGAGTTACACCATCATTTATTTGTGAGACTGCACTGAATTTATTTAAACTAGACTAAAGTTTGCCCTCCTATGTTGAGAATTGTTTGAAAATGAGGACTGGCTTCAGGGTAGCTCAAGAAGATATTTTCTTTGTGTCTTTATATGATGTGGAAACAAAAGTGAGTTTCAGAGCTGAGCCTCCTGGCCTTTGGGTTCATTCACAGCATGAGGGTGGATGGAGGAAGTGGGAACTAAATAGATTTAGAAGAATGGCAGAGCTAAGAACCCGAGGTCTGTTTTAATTGAAAAAGAAATCCTACAGAAATCACTGAATCTTCAACTCTGAGCCAGGCTGTAGAGTGGACTATGTCCTTCAGCCACAAATCCTGGCAGCTGAGTTTCCTAGCAACAAGTAAGATGACAGGAAACTGTACGGGAACTAGACTGTATTTTATCGGAAATTCATCAAAGCCAACATATTTCAATAAAACAATTTAATTTGACAAATCTGCATTTTCTAAGACAGTTTTTTCCACTGTTAAATTTCCCAGCAAGTTGCTGGGTTGCTCCATGTGCTCCTAATCTGAAACAAAGGGCATATATAAGAACAAGGTATCAGAAATGGCAAAATAGAACTTTTCTTTATTCCTGTTTTTATGATTAGTGAGATGATTTTGATTTGCTGGAAAAGGAATGTAGTAATTGTAAACATGAATAGATGGGTGAACCAAAATGACTCCGTGGAGGAGAATTTATAAATTGGATCAAGTGAAAAGCCAGAGTCTAAAACAATGCCTGCTTTGGATGCATAAACACATTTTTATTACTTTGTAACCACAACTGTTTTTTAAGGCATGTAAACTGGATGTACACGTGAAACCCTTTAATTCTCATATGATCAAATGCCAAATACTTACCTATATATAATTGTGACTAATAGAATCTGCCATTGCTGTGGTTTGAGAACAAATGCAAAATTTGTATCCAATTTGAACAGAATGTTATTTTACAAACTCAGATTTATTTTCTCTGCTGTGATGACTGTGTGTGGAAGAGTTGGACACAGTCAATTGATTTAGAACCAATAACCTTATTACCCTGCAATTTCAGAATAATTTGACGATTTAGGGACACTGAAAAAGTAATGTTTGAATCTGGATTAAGACCTGGGTTTGTGGCTCATAAGCAAATTTGGGCTCTGAATTGCATTAGATGCTACAGTGCAAAAACTGTATGGCCTAGTCTCATAAGATTTCTATCTAAAGTGGAGGAAGTTTGAGATGAGCCTGTTTCATTGTTCAGATTGTAATTTCATAGAGGTAGCGGTTCTTCAAAAGAAGTTTAAACGGCGTTAAAATAGAAGAGAGAAAAAGCTGTGTCCACACAGCCAATTTGGCTTGCTCCTTTTTTCCCTCCAGTGGTCTCCTAATCACCTACACCCCATATGTGTGCGAATTTGTTCCCAGTCTCACTTTTGGATTTAGCCAACAATTTCCCTACAAGAGGAAATCTGGGAAGAGTTGTCAGGACAGTTTGCTCTAAGCTTCCCATCAGACGGAGAGGAGGGGCTTCACCACCTTTGGCTCAAACAATCCCAGGAGACCTTATAACTTCAAACACCTCGTGCCATGCAACGCACACAGTCAGTGTCATGCTGTAAAAATACCACTCCGGCAAGCAGGAACACAAATCTCTCATTACCATGAGAGTACTCTGGACTGAAAAAACACAAAATGAAATTACATCCAAAGGCAAAGGGTGCCACACTGGACCCAGAGGAAACAAGTCAAGTGCTTTGCAGTGCGGATGCGGCCACTCCAGACCAAACGGCTGGAGGCAAGGATTTTCTCTCTAGGGCAGTCCCTAGAGATGGCATAGACATAAAGTTTAAACTCCTAGTAGAGGAATTCCTCCTAGAGGAGTTCCTCCTAATAGAGGGTCTCACATTATTGAGAGAATGGGCTCAGCTACTGTGATTCGAAAATAAGCCCACTCTGTTCCAAGACCTTCACAGGACAGATTTGAGACACAGCTGAAAGTGTATCACAGAAAAATGAAACAAAAGGAACACAAAAGCTCAGCATTTCATAAGGGACCACCAATGCTCAGCACTTTTGAATTAACAGACCTATAAACAAACTGTGAAAGTGCAAATACACTCTTATTTTCAGTCCTTAAAATAAAAACTTGTGAATGTGTAAGGAGATACCACAACATTCAGAAAGGTGTTATTAAAACTTTGTATGGTTCCTGTAGAGAATGTGGTTAATAATCAGTACACACTAATACGAGTAAGTGAACTATAAATCCACACCCAAAAGGCATAAAAAAAACTTGATGAAAATAATAAATATGTCTACAAAGCAAAGAAAGTTTATCTAGCAAATCTGCACACAACAATACTGAATTTCATACTCTGAAATTCTTCCAGCTCACAATTTTTTCAGGGTGTTTCAGCTCTGGGGACAGAAAAAAGGCAGAAGTGAGCTACAGCTTACAGTCTCTTTTCCTGCTACTGCTTTTGGAAGGGAGAGGAAGAGATACCCTGCAAGCAGGGTATTTTTCTTGTTAAAGAAAGGACCTGACAAGTTTGTGGTCTGCTGATGGGAAATAAATCCTTTGGCACAAAACATTGTTTTGCAAAACCATACAAAACAAAAAGCAATTTTTCAGCATTTAAATACAGGTGCACAGATATTTTTCTTTAATTTTCTAAATGGAGACATTTTTCTTAGCCAAAGTGATTTATTCTAACTGATGCGTGTATGTAACTTAGGTACATATATGTAACTTGGGTGGAAATTCAGATGTAATAGCCATTACTTGAGCTGGGAGAGATGTATTACCCCCACTGTAATCTTCTGGGCCTCCGGGTGTCACTAATTATTTAAAATAAAGTAGCAACTTTAAGGTCCTCAGTTTATGCCATGCAATGCATATACAAAGGAGAGGCTCTCCTTATGCTGAAAACCTTAATATAATTGCACAAAGCAAAAGTCGAAAGAGAGAGAAGGGGACACAATATGCCCAAAGTCAGCAGGCAGGTCCATGCAGAGTTGGGAATAAAACCTGTTCTTCCCAGTTCTCTAGGCAGTACCCAAACTATTTAGAACATCCTGCTTCTTGAGGTCTTTCTGTGCGACATGCAGTGGTACTCCTGCTTGTAAGAGTTTAGCTTGAAGGAAGTATGTACTTTCCACAGCAATGGCCAATGAATTAAGGAAAAAAGAAAACACGGGAAGGGCCACTTTGACCTTGAGACATCAGTAACACACTCATTTGCAAACTCTACAATGTTATAGCTTATGGGAAGATAAGCGCAGATTCCCTCCAACCTTTGTGGATCTGCTCTATACATGACCCAATTTGTCATGCAGGGCCTCTGAGTCTGGAATTTGCCTGTTAGTGATAGGGTGCCTATCAGTCCGAAAGTTACTGGGGGCAGTAATGCGCATAGTATTAGCCCAGTTTTATTGCTCTGATTGGATTATATATGGTAAGCTATAAAAGTGCCTGTGGCTGGTACATATATTACCGGCAGAGTGGTGTCCCAGGCACAGGAAAATCTGTATTCCACTTCACATCATCATATGTTTTCAGCCAAGCTTGTTTAGCTTTTGAGATCAAAACAGGCCTCCTAGTCAATATGCAAACACATGCTACTGTGAATACAGTAGCAGTAATGTGCCCGTCTTCTGCAATTCATACTAAAAATGGGCAAATGTCTATTGAAAAAGCTCTCCTGCTCTAACAACAGAAAGATGTATTAGCACACTCTAGTATCAGACTAGCACTTTACTTTGGAAGGAGAAGTTGATAAAAGAAAAGACGAGATAGCATAAAAACAGTACCTGTAAATTAATATTTGACCCTGGGCTAATAGGAAGAGTGGCTGTTGCAAGTGTGCGAGTGAGAAGCTGGTTAGGAGGATTGCTGCTAGGTGGATGTGTGGCCTTCCAGTAGGCTTCCAGATAGTCAGCAAGGTGCTCACAAGCATCTTCAAGCTGGTTCTCATCGAGAATTACATCGAACATTTCCTGATAAAGGAAAGGTTTTAGTGAGAATAACCACTAGCTCAAGGGAGGTCAGCTAGAGACATTGATGACCACACTTTTTATTCACCGAAAATGAAATAGCGCTAATGTTAAACTTGCCAGACCAAGTCCTCCTGACTTCCACTTGGTAATACATAAATAGCAACTGAAGATAGGAAGAGGCAGTCTGAACAAATCTTAAAATTCAAATATTCAAAAAGAGGTTAAATATTAAAGCTTTTTAGCTACTGGAACAAAACAGAACAAGAAAAGAGGCTGAACCCCCATACCTAGAATAAGTAATACAAAACTAAGACAAACTAAGACAAATAACTAGTAGCAATACTAGACTTGACTAATACAGAGCATTGAGTTTACAAATGTTCCACAAATTTAAGCTAAGAGATTAGTCACACCATCTAACTTTAGGCATCTAAAGTTAGTAGGACGCTTTCCTTTGCTCCCTACCTGGTCAGAGAGACAGAACTCCTCCTGAAGGCAGTTTTGAGAACCTAAGCAGGTTTCTCGCATTCTTCATTGACTTCTTGGGGAGCTGAGGAGGCTAGTCTCTTAACTGAGATGCTTAAACTTAAGTGATGAAAATATCCCACTCATTCAGCTCCCTAATTATGGCGAATGCCAACTTCGGAATTCAAATGAACCTTTATCTTCTGGGCTCTTACTATACTCCTGACAGTTCGGTACGCAGGTAATGAAGAATCCTTGCTATGTTCTGTATACAACTATGGTCTCATCATCCCGTAACTGCACATCAACAGAAAAACTACAGTGCAGCTCAAGTACGCAGTATCCCACAGCTCTTTGCCAAAATTGTGACTGGGAGTGCCAAGAGCGATCAGCTGAGATGACATATACCCAAGAGGAACTACTAAACCCACCTGCCTTACCCTAGATTTCCAGAGATAAAGCACAGTCACTAAAATGGTTCATTTTTAGACCAATAACCTAGAAAGAGTTATCAAGGAAAAACAAATCCTCAGTTTGTTCAAGTACACATACTAATTATTGTGTTTCTGAAAAGGAATGCTTTTTACCTGTACCCCTTGTTCACAACCCAGAGACCTCAGGAGCTGTTTTGCAAAAAAGTAATAGTGAAATATGGCCAGAAGGGGGCAAACATTGCTAAAAATTACATAATTAACCTCTTGAAAAGAAAGGAAGGATCAAGCATCTTTAAACAGGAATCAGCATTTTTCACTGAACAAGACATGAGTTAACAGTAACTCACTGGAGGACACTGTGCCAGTTTATCAGCTGCCACCATCTGAACATTAAGGTGTTTGGCCTGAGATTTTCCTCGAGATTTTATTAACCTCTGTAAAACCTGTGGAAAATGAGAAATTAATAAAAGAAGGCAGACAGAAAGAAGTGAAGTAACAGGTTTGATCATTCTCCCATCCAGTTCAACAAGACTTCACAGTCAGTGGACTGTGAGATGGATTGGTTTCTATGTACATCTATAATCACTCAAAACTCTTGTTTTGTTACCAAACAAAACAACAGGTTTTTTTCGATGTGTGGCATCCAAATTACAAAACTAACCACTAAATGTTAACTTTTATCCATCAATTTAATATTCAGTACGTGAATGCCCTTCTTTCATTTCATTTTTGTATTGTTTGCTTGGATGGTAAAACCCTTAAGAGTCTTCTACAGAACATTTAACAAACTGTTGGTATTATTTACATGATTAAGGCTAAGGAACAGGAGAACACACCATACAATCCCAATTAAAACAATCATGTGAGCTACACCTATTCCAAAATGGGTTTTGGTAACCCCAGAGCTGATACCCTTTTTTACTTCTAAAGGGAAGTAAGAATAAAATATAACTCCTTGAGATTTCATTTTACCTAATGAGAACACACAATTACCTGTATTTAAGACTTAGAAAAAAAAAATAGTAGGTGAAACAGCACAAATACGAGTAAAAGATTTACCTTAGGAGAAGAAATCTTTACATATACTATAATGGGAGCCAAAGAGGTTTTGCTTAGTTGAGCTGGGTGATTAATGGTATCAGCATCAAGTACTACCAACTGCAGTGTCCTTGCTAATTCAAAAATCCGTTCGATTTCACTTTGAACTTCAGCTGCGGATAAGTAGAAAATGAGAGTTACGAAAATATTAAAAAGCAATTTATGTTAACAAATGAGAAACTGTGGTAGATCGGTGTGTTGCTCCGCAAACAGCTGAGGAGATTGGCAGCGGCATTAAGAGTTCCCGTCACTGGCCCCTAGCGAAGGAATGCCTCATTAGCAGGAACAGTGTGCCCACAGTGGGTCTTCTCTGAAGGTGGTACCCTCTACCTCTCTCACCTCCACAGCTTCGCATAATTCCACCACACAGAGATACTGTTAACACTTTTTTATATGACCCCAATCCATAGGTGCAGGAAAAAAAGGGGTAAACAGTATGCCTGCCAATCTATGAATTCCCTACAAGTAATTTCAGCTCAGAGTTTAATTCTACTTGATAATCAAAATACTTAAACCAAAGTGCCTGAGATGGGCACTGAGGTATTCTGAGGTATCTATGTTAGCAGAAGATCCTGTTTTTCCATTTGTTTCAACTAGAATTATTCAAGCCTTGAAAAAAGGCTTTCCTTCCTATACTGGCTTCAATATGGTATCCTGTTAAAATATTTGATTAGTATGTGCAAACCCTTCTAAAAACAAATACAGCAATAATTTAAATAATACTATGTTATCCTCCTCACAACCCCTGGAGTTCTGGAAAGGTGATTTTCCCAAGGTCATCTTATCTTCCGATTACTCATACTCCCAGCTCATCAGCAACCTGCCTGATGGGAATACAAGGTTTCTGGGGCAAACCTCTCCAAGACAGATGTACTGTGAATGCTTTCACAAGTGATGTAGAAACTGTCTCCATTCCCGGCTGAAACAAAACAAGATTTTAAAATAGTGAAATCGTCCTTGAAATAGAATGGCTTTTCCCTGCTCAGATTTCACTACTGCCCTAAGACACAGAGAAATTACAGAATTTGGTTGATTTGAACAAGTCTACAAAGAAAGTTGCAGTCCCAGACAAAATTGTAATTTATACAAGCTTCACTTTTAGCTTTGTGCACCCTCCACGAGCAAAGACCAGACTAGATACCTAGCCAGTCCAAAGCAAACATTAGAAGATATTCACACACCTTTAAATGCCCACAGGAGGTACCAAAGACTTAATTATTAGAGATTTGCTTGGAATTACACTGTCAGTTTTTTGTTTCATCTCTTGCACTGGCACAAGTATTATGTTTGCTGGAAATAACCGTCTGCCTGCTCTGGCTAGAGACAAGAGTTTTCTACAGTAGATGGCTCTCCAAAGATGGGTGTCCCTTTCAAGAAGTGCTAAGAGATCGATCTATGTTATCTTAGAACAGCAACTGAATAAACTAGGCCATATGATAAGGTTGCAAAATTTCCAAAAGAGAAGCTTGATAAGTGGTGTGTCACCAAGCTAAGCACAGCACTCCAGCTGGCTCCACTTAGCTTAAAAGTCTTTTGGTCCAAGTCAATAAGTCACTACTCAGATCATGCTATAAATGAAGTCATACCTTTAAATGACCATCATAAAAATCTATATACGATGTTCTCTATTGGAGAAGGTTGACACCCTTTTGGATCTATTAGAGAACAGCTCAGTCCATTTGTGGTTATCTCCAATTTTAGCTGAGTACATGGCAATCAGTCTCTGAGAGCACAGAACAAGCTGAGATTTGCACAGCTTTCTCCTATGCCATCATTCCCCACTTTTCTGCTTGTTGATAAAAGCACTGCAGCCAAGGTGCTGTCTCAATTAGGACCACATTTTTGAAGATAGGGCTTCTAATGGTTCTTGGTACATTCAAAATTATATTTTCTGAACCTTCTCTGCATACAGATAGTGGTTGGACTTACTGAATACCACAGTCTCAGTGATTTAGCTAGGAGATTCTATAGATTATCCCTAATTTAGGCCCAAATGGGCACTAGACTAAACAGATCAGAAATAATTTGTCATTCTGTTGTGACGATGGGTTTGCAATGCTTTTCCTGAAATTTCAGACTCAGCACTTCAGTCAATATAACAACATCAGTTAAAGTATAACTTTAAGACCATTTCAGACTTAAAAAAAAAAAAAATTATTCAAGCCAAATTTTACCAGTAAAAACCATTCTTTTGCCAGCATATCATAATTCTATCTGGGGAAGCAGTATCACCTATACTGTTAGAAGCACTTTTCCACCAGTACAGGATACATCTATGTGAAGTAGATTTCCTGCTATACTTTTTGAAACAAATCTTTTCTAGGGTAGAGTACACCTCAGCATTTTCTGTTATGAAATACACCTGGGACAATAATTGCAGGTAATTTTGGTCCTGTGAACCAATAGTTTCCACCTGAGTCCAGAGATGGAGACAGAGGATATCTTTTCCATCAATTAAAGAGCGTTTCAATATTTATTTTTCTCAACAAGTCCAGTATCCAAAAACATCACAAAAGATAGGAGGAAAGTTCACAGGTCAACGCTGTCCAGTTGAACTGAAGTATGTTATGCCTCTACCCCTCAGATCAAAGATGGTTGAAAAAGATGCTATAGAGATTACCACAGAGGTCCCGATCTCTCATCCCTTAAAATACTTCTTCACCTTCTGGAAAAGCCTGCATTTTCCTTTAAATCTTCCTTGTAGTCTAACTTTTCACTACACAGAAGATTGTTACAATTAAATAACAATATAATCTCTTTTTAGATGACAAAGGCTTTACGTTAGCTCCTGCTACAGCTTTATTCTTGCATCTTTCTCTATGGACATCTCTCAAAAAGCAAATTCTGTATCTGTAAAGATTTCTTCCCAACTAGATATTCAACATCAATTTCCTCTCAGACTTTTGACCAAAGTAAGCAAAGAAGCCTAACTGTCCTGTGGGGATAGTAAACACAAATGTCACTGGCAGTTAAAATAGGGAGCTGAAATGAAACATTGAGAATAATGACAGTGTGGTATCTTCAAAGAAGCACAGTAATAGGTCAGCAATCTTCCCACCTCCAGGAATGTCATTTATTTATAATAATGTCTCTTCTGATGTACTAAAGAGCCACAGCAGTGAAGATATAGTGGTTATTTCCCATAATTTGCCAGTCATAATGAGAGGCATAAATGTAATTAGAGCTACTATGACAATCATCATGAAGCACTTGCAGCCCAGATACAACCCTCAAAATAAAACCAGCAATAAGCTATAAAATTTTTAAAGTGCGCCTTACATTTTGCAAGGCAGTCTACGTCATATTGCCTCTTGGGTCACCAGAAAGGAAACACATATTTTGAATGATCAGAGCACTCAGTTATTTATTTCAAGCAACAGAAGATCAACTCTAAGAAAAGAAAAGCACAGCTCTCCCAGCCAACTTTAACCACTGCGCATTTACTCTTACTCCTATCTGTTAATTCCAAGTAACTCTACCGTACCCTGAAATGAACAGAAATTCAACGCAATGACATCCGCACATGCCAGATGGCTTGTTCCATTATGGGGGCTGACAACTTTTTTTTAAACCAGTTGGACCTTCCAAGTGAATTTCAGGCAAAAATATTTAACTGTTCATTATAATAGTCTCACCTAAAGCAAAAGCCAAGACAGAGCAACACTGCACTGCCTCTCTTTCGATTCACTAATAACTCCACAAAACGAGTTACGTAGAGTTTCGGGTCACTTCTACAATGCCATGATAAAAGAACATTCTGCTACAAAGGTGGAGAAACACAGCCCTCCTTCAAACTTGGGCAGAAATCACACACACCAGTCAGGACACCCAGCTTTACAGATACGTGGCTACACTAGCACTATGCCTTAGGAAGACCCTGATGAGACGGCAGTTTCATGATGGGGATGTGATGCAAAATGACCATGCAGCTGCTCAGATTCTGGGCTGCAAAGGCCAAATTAGAAACTACAAAATAACGCTAATACACAAAAAAAGGTTTTGATTTTCAGCAGGGATGTTTAAGAAGTTCACATATTATCAACTGAGAGTATAGTAACAGTATGACTTTGACATCCTATTCCATTTGACCCCTTCTACTTGCCTTTGGTATCTGTAGCACTTTTTGTTAATCTAAACTGATTTTTAAGTTTCTGCTTGGATTACAACAGCCATAGGGACAAAGCGTTCTATTTTTTTAAACAGAGCTCCTGATGTTAGAGATGTGTAGTATTAACAGAACATACCAGTATCGGTATGTTTGTCTTACAAAAATGACTGGCAACATCTTGCACCAATGACTTTCAAACAAATAATTTTGCAAATTAAGGAGGAGAAGAGACATCAGTAGCCCTACATTTTTCTTATACTAATTCTTTTATGTAAGTATACTGACTTCAAAGTAGTTCATCTTTAAATTCCATCAACATAATTAAAGGAAAAAAGTATAAATTTAAGGCAGCATCCAGATGCAGATTAAAATAGATACGTAAAGAAAAAAAATGCTGCGCTTCCCCAGTGCCTTAAAAGCACATAGACAGTATTGCACTGAAAAGAGCACTTACTGAAAAATGATAAAGGTCATACTACAGAACCAACTCAACAAAAGAGAAAAGAAAAAAAAAGAGACGCAAAGGATGACTTTTGAGTTATGCCCAAAACATCTCCCGATTAAGAAGCAAGTCATGAGCTTGACTGAGAGGAATCAGCCTCTCAGAGCAGAGAGGCAAGTGCCCTCTGCGCTCCCCTTCACACTACCCAGCTAAGAGGGCCAAAGTCTGGGATGGGCGTGCGAGCAAGTAAGGGGGATTAAACTCTCTAATAATCAGGCAAACAGCCAGAGGGTACCTGGATTATACACTTTTTTTTAATCAAATGGCTAACATAAACGTAGTTTTGTGAATACAGCTGCACTTCCCTAGTCTCAACCAAATCCCTTAACCACTCGCCTGTTACATAAAAAGGGGGTGTGGGCGTGGGATGATGATAATATTTTTCAGTGAAAGTGGCTGCATGTGTTACTCACTCCTAACAGATGGGGCTCCTGAGAGGTTTAAGGCAGAGTTTAGTCACCTGTCAGAAAGGAAAGGAGCTGCAGCAAGGCCGTATGTCTGGC